TTGGGGGAGATTTTTATCAAATATTACTTGTGATCCCAAAAGGTACTAGACAAGACATTATCAATGCAACAATCAATTCGGTCTTGAACCTCACAAAAAACATGACATTGAAAACTTTGCTTAATGCTGAAGAATATGAATTGATGATGCACTTCACCAATTCATTGCACAATTGGGCAATTGAAGAGCTCGTGAACCAAATGATGGAATTATAGATATCCCAATCCCCAGTGATATGTTAATAAAAATAGTGGTGATCCAATTATTCAAATTGTGCAGGAAAAATATCCAAACTTCAACATAATTGCGAATGATCCACTACAAAAAAGAGCAATCTTAGCACCAACAATGGATGTGGTAGACACAATAAATGAATATATGACTAGCCTTAATGTTGGTGAGAAGTCAAAGACATATCTAAGTTCGAACAACATATACAAATCAGATTCAAACTCTAATTTATTAGCAAACTTACATTCACTAGAATTTTAAAATAGTATTCGTGTTTCAAGCGTCCCAAACCATGAACTCAAGTTAAAGGTTGGAAAACCTGTTATATTATTGAGGAATGTTGACCAAACAATAAGTCTTTGTAACGATACTCGATTGATTGTAAGTCGGCTAGGATCCCATGTTATCCAAGGAAAATTGATTGCAAGAAAACATGTTGGTCACGAGATCGTGATTCCAAGACTCGCACTCACACCTTCGGATATGATTCCTTTTAAGTTTTAGAGAAAACAATTTCCAATAATGACTTCACACTATGACAATCAATAAAAGTCAACCAATCCCGAAAACACATTTCTCTACTACTAAAAACCAATCTTTAGTCATGGACAGTTATACATCACATTTTCTCGAGTGACAAATCGTCAAAGCCTTAAACTTTTGATTTGTAAGTATTTTAGTCGAGCATACTAATAATGTTATATTTAAGAAAGTATTCCAAAATATTTGATTGTAACAATCAATTTTTTGTCATATAAAAATATCATTGGTAATGTTTTAATAATATTTTAATATCACGTACTACTTTCGTCTCATTGTCTTTGTCCAGTTTTGACTTTTGGAACTGTTCATCTAAGCACTTTGACTCATCAAATTCTCTCAATGTGTAAGCCTAAAAATACTCATGTGTGATCTTATTTGATTTGTCTTAACATATACATTATTAATATATAATTTTTATAATTTTTTAATATACAAATTACAAGATAAAATGGATTAAAGAAATGCATTGGATGGTGTGCCAAAAGGTAATTGAACAAGGACAGTGGGACGGAGGGAGTAATTAGGTTTCTCATTATCAAAAATCTATCATGTAAGAATATTAAAAGAAAATTTTTCATTATTAATTACACTATTAATTAAATTTTAATAAACGACAAAAAAAATGAGAAAATACTCCCGTGCAAAGTACAACTCTAGTCTAATACTCCCTCCGTCCTAAAACTTTCTTCCCAGAGCACTATTCCAACTTCACGGGAATTTATATTTATTTGTGTTTTTTCATGGCCTGATAAAATAAAATATTCTTGTCACCACTTGTTTTGTTGAACTTTTGATGTAGTTTTTAAATATGTATGTTTTATTTTTTATTTCTATACCAATATTTAAATAAAATGGATTGAAAAAAATTGGGATTTTTCTTCGTTTTGCGCAACGGAAAGAAAGATATAGAACTGAGGGAGTAATATTCTAAAGACGAAAGTAGCATTGAATTTTGTAATTTGATTAAAAAGTGTTGGAAATATAAATTAAATCAGATCAATGCATTTCAACATTTGGTGAGTAATTGAAAAAATCAAAATTTATATACGTTCATAAGGACCATTTTAGAATAAGCAGAGTTTTTTCTTTATTTTTTTATATATGTAACTTTCTATTTTTTAACTCTTTCTAGAAATATCTATAAAATATGTTAAATTAAATCAAATTAAAGCAAAGATTTATATAATTAAAATTGTAATTATTTAAATTTTTTTCAAATACGATCCCACATCCAATATTCAGATATTTTAAATCATTCTTAAATTTTGATTTTTTAACTACTTACCGAAAATTGCTGAAGACTACCATTCATAAAGAGTTTCTATAATTCAACTTTTAATCATACTATGAAATCATTTAAACATGAATTAAGAAAAAAATATATTTATGTATCAACTACTTTAATAAAATTAGATTTCATTAAAAACTTTGACCATGAAATTTAAAAAAAAATATGCTGAATAATAATATAAATTTAAACTATTTGATTTGTCTTTAAATATAATTTTGAAATATCATATTTTTTTATAAAATTTATTAATGATTATATATATATATATATATATATACATATATATATATATATATACACACACACACAAACACATACATACATACATGCATATTAATGATTAAAGTATCACATAGAAGACCTAATAGTTTAAAAAGTGTTATCTCACTAATTGAACAACAAAAATCGGTGTTTGAATAATGGCTTTTTCACTTGGCAGTTTGATCTGAAAAGTCAAAATTCGGAAAGCCAAAGAGAGTATCTTTTAGACCTGGCTGTTAGAAAAAGTAATTTTTTAAAATTAGTTTCCTTGAAAGATATTTTAATATTACATGTAAAAAGATTAAAGTAAAAAAATTAAAATTGAAAAATTGAAAAATCAAAATAAATCTGATGACAAAATCAAAAGAAAAAAAATTATTAAAACTTTATATACTCCCTCTATCCGGAAATGTTTTTCTAATTTTACTTTTCACGATTTCTAATGTTACATTTTGACAATTAATAACTATATTTATACATAGGTATATTTTATAAAATTTTGATATTTCTAAATTATGATTCATTAGAAATATATTGATATTAAATTTAAAGTAAATTACATAATTAGTCCTTTATAACAAGAGAATTTCCCTATTTAGTTATCTATTATCAAATACTACTCTAGTAGCCTTTTTTTATGAATATCTTTTCACAAATAGTCATTTTTTTATCTTCTATCATGTTGGTGTTAATTTAAAAATAAAAGTATAATTTCACAATGATAATATATTTTTTTTATCATACACAATTCTAAAAGCTGTTCCATTTGCGTCATTTATCAATTATAATCACTTTCTACTACAACCATAGTCTACAAATATGGTTTTCCATTAGAATTCTAACCCACAATCATAGGCATTGTTTTTGTCTTATCCGCTTAACCAATATCAGAACACGTCACTGGACATAAATGTCAAATTATACTTTTAACTTTTAAATTAACACCGACATGACAAAAGATAAAAAAAAACCATTTGTGAAAAAGCGCCTTTAAAAAAAGAGCTGCGAGGTAATATATGATAACAGAGCACTAAATATGAAAACCTCTCTGTTATAAAAAACCAATTATAAAGTTTATTCTTAAATTTATATCATAATATAATATATATTTTTTATAAATTAGAGTCAAGTTTACAAAATTTAACCAATAAAAGTCAAATGTGAAGAACATTTCAAAAAGAGAGAGTACTCTTAATTTTTCTATGAATTATATGAAAGTGAAATTTAGTACTTCATATATATATTAAAAATATAATATATATATATATATATATATATATATATATATTCAACATATTGTTTTTTAAATTTCATGGCCAAAGTTTTTAATTTCGATCCTAAAAATTCAAATTAAAATCTTTTTTTAAAACAAAATGATTGATTCAATTTAAAAACAATATTTTTAAATGACATTAGCATGTGTAGATGAGTTGAATTAAATAAGAATAAAGAGATAGGGCCATTAAGCAATTTTAAAAGTTAAAATGATGTGACTAAAAAGTCCACATGAAAGCAATTTAATGGAAGGACATCCATGCACCTTCATTAGCAAACACACCAGAAAAATTCCCTTTTTTAATTTACAAATTACAAAATAAAAAAAAATTTAAAAAAATGTATTAGATAGTATGTAAAAATAAAAAATGAACAAACACTAAAGATGGAGATAGTATTAAATTAAATTTATTAAAAAAAATTATATTTATGATTAACTAATTTTTTTAATGTTTATTTATTAACTGAATTTTACGAAGGAATAAAAAACTGCTTTTTTGCGTATAGACCAGACATCGGTTGTCTGTGATCTGCAAAAATATTTAAAATTGATATCTTATAATATCTTCAAAATTCACCTTATAAATAAATTTCTTTACCAAATGTCAATTTTAATCCTTTACTAATTGTTGGTTTGGGTTTGCTCCCTTGCTGATTTCAATAGTAATTTGAATCGTCCTAAAACTGCATATATGTACAAATAATATTGGTATTGCACTTCATTACAGATTAATCCACCTTTTGGGCTTCTAATATTAGATTAAACATTAGCAAACAGCAGAAATTATATTTGAAGAAATAAAAATTGTAGACAATAAATAGAAACACGATACAATCAGATGAAAAACGAAAAGGCATATCAGAACTACAGTTTAAAAATAAAAAATGGTTGTATATAATAAGAAAAATTTTACACTATTCATAATTACAAACATTTACTCCCTCTATCCCTGAAGGGATTGTCCACTTTCATTTTTGCACATCATCCAATACACTTCTTTAATTTATTTTATCTTATAATTTGTATATTAAAAAATTATAAAAATTATTTATTAATAATCTATATATTAAAGACAAATCAAACAAGATTTACACGACTATTTTTAGGCTTACACATTGAGAAAATTTGATGAGTCAAAATGCTTAGATGAACAGTTCCAAAAATCAAAAGTGGACAAACACTCAGGGACGAACCAAATATATATTAATGAATAACATCTAAAAGTGCTACATTGGAATAAAAACAAATGCTATTTTGAAAAATCAATATATTTTAAAGTTACTTAATTAAATTCCCTATCTAATAATTCTCAAAATTAATAAAATAAATTTTAGTATGAGAATTTAGTATTAAATTGTGAAATGTCATATTTTCATTTTTATGTCAACCCATATATAGAGGTATTATTAATCCAAATTTCGATTTGGAGACTGAAAAACTTAAGTGAAAAATAGATGTAGGATTGGGAGTAGATCAAGAAAAAACTTTACACTCCATCTTAATTTAGAAGCTTTATTTCAAATATATAACGTTATAAATAACTTGAACAAAAATGGGAAAATGGGAAGAAATTAAGTATAACATACAATAACCTAAAAATAAAAAGCACAGCCATAAGCAAAAGATAAATTGGATCATAAACAGTATAAACACATAAACAAGAAACTAATGAAAACATGTCTCTTCAGTTCAGGTCTCCAAGTTTCATCCGCATGGTTTGCTCGGAAGAACGAAAGTTATGATTTTGTTCATCATAAGAGACAGCAAAAATCACACATATTTTTCGCAGAGAAAAAAGGATGCGCTATCAAAGGCAAAATTAAAAGAAAAGAAAACTAGAAATCGATGAAAAGAAATACAAGGCAAGACGAAATGAAAAACACAGAAAGGCCGAAATCGTGAATTCGGAAGAGATTCTGGAAAAGAATATTGGGTGCCGATGAAACCCTAGGCTGAATATGCCACGCCGGGTTCAATAAGAAGATGGGTATATATAGTGGTCTGGAGCTGCAGAGTGGTGGAAAATACCATAACCCTATGACCTTTGGGCCGTTTTAATTAGTTGGGCATATGAATGCAAACCATTATTCCATTTACTTAAGAGAATTTCCATGGGCTTTAGTGCTTTTGCATATTGGACCAAGCAATTACGAAGGAGTGCTAGTTTTTATCCGCACGGATTCGCATACTTTTATATAAATATATCTATAAAATTGTTACTTCGTATTATTTAAAAAAATAAAACTTACATTAAATAAATAGTTGAATTACCATTCAAATTATTCAATCACAATATCTATTGATGAAATACTTAAATATTGTACATGCATGTACATATGAAGAATTATACATTAACTTTTCGTAAATAACTTTGTTAGACATTTTATTTTTGGAGATATCGTGGTATGCGAGGAGAGGATGTATTCATTAATTTCCTCGATGGCTCATATTATTTTACACTTTGATTAATTAAATTTATAATTTTGATAGAAAATTGTATTTTAAATTTTAAAGGAAAAGTTTGAACTTTTTGTTTATTCTGTCATCTTTGTGTATGAAACACTATACCTGTATGAAAATAAAAAGAAAAATATCTTTTATTCCACTATTTTTAAAAAAATTAATTCCAAGAAAAAATAGCAAACAAAATAGTGAACACAAATATATGTATGACTATTTAAGAATTATATTAACATTATGTACACTTGTTAAAAGTTCAACTAATATATAAACATTATATGAATTAGAATTTATTTGTATTTATTTTAATTTTTTGATAATAATATGACATGCATTATATGTTTTTTTAGAAATTTGGATAAGATATTTTATTATAGCTAGACTATTATTAGAGACGATATTTTTTTGAAAAAAATTGTATTTTAAAAATAATTCTCATGCTCTAAAATGTATGTATAATAGTTTATAGTAGCTAAACTATTAGATACGGTACTTTATATAATTAATTTATTTTTAAAGATAATAAAAAGAAAAAATGATGAAATACTAAATATGTGCATATACATACATACATACATACATACCTACATACATACGTACGTACGTACGTACGTACGTACGTACGTACGTACGTACGTACGTACGTACGTACGTACATACATACATACATACATACATATGAGAAATTTACCTAAATAGGACTAAAACATAATGACTTTCCCAATATAGGACCATATGTTTTTATTTCTCAATGTAGGACCTTTGGTCATTATAAAGTAGTCATTATTCAAGTAAATGTCCATCATTACTAGACATTATTCTTCTCACTAGGTTATTATTAAGTCCTATGTAGGGAATAAAAAAGTTTAAGTCCTATATTGGGAAAGTCATTATGTTTTAGTCCTATTTAGTGCAAATTTCACTATATATATATATATATATATATATATATATATATATATATATATATATATTTATATATTTATATATATGTATCTCCCTATTTCTATAAGCGCCTATCTAGGCAGTCTTTTTTCCATTTTTTTCCGTTTAATTTCACGGTCCAATGCCGGTTTCCGTATATATCAATTAGCACAAAAAGTTAATCCTATTGGTCATTAAGCCGCCCACCGCCCCACGACAATGCATTCTTCCCCGTTCACCGCCCCACTACCGACGATAACTCTCATATATCTTCCCTGGGATTGCATTCGCCTCTTCTATAATCTTCCTGTAAATCGGTATTTTTTCGCGACCCGCTAGGGAAACCATCCTTTTCTTTTCTAGATTTTGCTGCACTATTTTCGTTAGGGATACGTCGGCCCAAAGCTTATCATATTTCTAGATTTTGCTGCACTAAACCCTGTAAATTCTTTTTTGTTTTGTGTTGCGTTTTTCACAGTAAATTCTTGCAATGTAAATTCTTAATTCTTACACTCTAACCGTATGAATTTACAATACCTCTGTCCTTCTTTTATGAATCGATTACAGTACCTTCCCTGTAAATTCTTGCACTGTAACCGTATAATTATGAATTGATTAAAAATCTTCTTTTATTACCCATCTGACTAAACAAATTAATTATGTATATTTAGATTGTTAAATTACTCCAGATATTGCAAGGAAGGAAAAGAAAGACAAATTTTGTAGTTCTTATTCCTTCATAATGAATCAGCCCTTTCATGCACTTCATATAATTGATTCCCCTAGAACAAGTCCAGTTAGAACCACTGAATTCCATGCCAAATGAGTGCTTTTCTCTTGCTCTGATATGTATAACCACATGTCCTGTTAAAGAACATTGAGCATAAACTGTTACAGAAAAGGTGAAAAAGAAACCTGAGTAATCCATAACTCCAAATTAGCTTCCCATTTTCTTTTTCTATGTCTCAAAATTATATTATCACTTCCTTTAATATTAAGAAAAAGATTTTATGCTTGATAAGTTTACATTCATTTCAAAATAAATCTAAGCTACACAATTAAATTTTATGTGGATAACATTTAGAGGAGAGGTACCCTTAAACTACAAATTAGAAAGTAAATACTAGAGCAGTATTTCAAGTTTTAGGAAGGACAGATTCATTCATAAATTACCCTGGCAAGGAAAATAATTTGCATTTCATTTGCTAGAGCAAGTATACACAACTGTTAACTTTTAAGTTATTCGTCAAGTTTTAGGAAGGACAGGTTCGTTCATAAATTACCCTGGCAAGGAAAATCATTTACATTCCATTTACTAGCGCAAGTATACAAAAATGTTAACTTTTGAGTTATTCATAGAAAAAAATTGATTTCAAGTCAAATTATTTATGTATGTTGAAGTATACTTCTTTGAATTTTATCTATACAACAATTAACTTATTTTACCTCTTAATATTGAATACAGGTCACTTATATACTGTTCGGGCTCTTTCTTCACCTCTTCAAATTACGCTTCAACTTCTTTGGTATGTTTACACACTTTTAATCTATGCTTAAAACCATTTATCTATGCTGAAGTATAAAATTATTTTAAAATTAATCAAAGTCCTTACTTTCCCCGTGTTGATCTGTTGAACTTATGCTTAGACTTCCTTCGTAGACTTCCTTCGTATGTTTAAATGCATTTAACATATATTAATATCTGTTTTTTAATAGAATGTTTACTACTCTTAGCAACATAAACATTGGTGTATGTACTCTCAACCCATTGATTACTCTTACGTTTGCTTGTTACTCCTCAAAGATTCAATGGAAACTGGAATGTCATCAACTCAGCCAACATCTGAGAGTGATCGGCGTGAGCAAATAAACTTTAGGCGTCGTCTTAGATATCGTGAGTTACGTGAAAGGGAAAAAAACGTCGCTTCAAATTCTTCCTCTTCCACTCAAGATGTAGCATTTAACTCCTTTATCATTTATGATTTAATTATACCTTTCTTTACCTTCGGCCAAATTTGCTAACTTCTTCTTGTTTCTCCCAACTCGACTCTCTCCTTCAAATCTTATAACGATGTCATCATTCCACCTACAACTATACATCATATTCTTATAGAATCACTGAAGAAGTTTGCATACCAAGATACGATTTTCTCTTTAAAAAGGGTATTAGATTGTATTTTTTGTGGGGCAAGCCGCATCCAGTTTGAACCTCCGAGGTTTTGCTGTTATCGAGGTGAGGCCGTTCTTTCATCAACACAGGTGCCTCCTACTCTTAGGGACTTATATATCGCCAATGATGTCAAAGGAAAACAATTTCAATCTCTTGTCCGTACGTACAACAACACGTTTGCGTTCACTTCCATTGGTATATATAATTATATATGACAAAGATCTATGCAGGAGGAATAAAGGAATTTACACCTTTAAGGTTCAAGGACAAATACATCACTTTGTGAACGACTTGCTTCCAAATGGATCTCCACCTCAAAATTTACAACTATATTTTTTTGATGCCGATCACCAAGTTGAAGGTAGAGTGCAGACATCAGATAGATTAGATAAAGAGATTGTAACTGCTCTTGTTGAAATGATTTCAGACAACCCATACGCTCAATTTTTTAAGAGTCTGAAAGATCGATATATGTAATGATGCAGAATTTAGCATTAAGCTACATAACCATCCAGGTCTAGACCAACGAGTTTATAATACTCCTACTGCCTCACAAGTTGCTGCAATATGGGTGGAGGATAACAACACAGAAACTCCAGAAAGTAAACACATTCGTGTTTATGCTCATAGTGGTAGATCACAGAATATACAATATTTTTACGGCTGTTATGATCCATTACAATATCCACTGTTGTTCCCTCATGGGGAAGTAGGTTGGCATACAGGGATTGATAGGGTGTTATCAGAATCACAACGACATTTAGCACGAAACACACAAATACCCTCTGTTATGCCAGGTCTTAATGTTGCACATACTGCTGAGGAGATAATTCAAATTGAAGAAGATAATATTCAAAGTGGAAAAAAGAGGAAAACTGTTTCATGCAGAGAATATTACGCTTATAAATTCCAGATATGCCATGATGATTCCAGATACTTATTACACACCGGAAGGCTTTTACAACAGTTTATGGTTGATGTGTATGTTAAGATTGAGACCCAACGGTTGGATTATTATAGACTAAAACAGCTTGACCTTAGATCTGAAACATATCAAGGCGTTGTTGATAGCATGCATATGGGTATGGTATACAGTGATGCTGTTGGCCAATGTGTTGTTCTACCTGCTTCATTCATAGGTGGACCTCGGGATATGCGTAAACGTTACCTAGACGCTATGGTAATTGTTCAGCAAAATGGGAAACCTGATTTATTTGTCACAATGATGTGTAATCCTAATTGGCCTGAAATCAAAGAACATCTCCAACACAAAGATGAGGCACAAAACAGACCGGATCTTGTATGTAGAGTTTTCATGCACGTTTACAGGAATTAAAAAATGACATAATCAAGAAGAAATTTTTTGGGGAAGTTGCAGCATACATATACGTAATTGAATTTCAAAAGCGTGGCCTTCCCCATACACGTTTTCTTATAATCTTAAAAGTTCCTGCAAAAATTCAAAGTCCCAATTCATGCGACAAGTTTGTTTGTGCAGAAATACCCGACCCTCTACATCAACCACGTCTATATACACTTGTTAAGAAACACATGATACATGGTCCTTGTGGCATCCTTAATCAAAGTTGCCCATGTATGACGAAAAAAGGGACAACTAACAGCCTCCTGTAGAAACAAGTACTCGAGATTTTTAATTGAGGAAACATCATTTGGTGAAGATTCATTCCGGTATACCGTAGGAGAAACGACACTAATTCCGTAGAAATATGTGGCTACAAACTTGATAACTCCTGGGTGGTACCATATAATCCACAACTTCTGTTGAAATTTGATTGTCACATTAATGTTGAGATATGTGCTTCAGTTAGATCCGTGAAGTACATATATAAATATGTTTACAAAGGACATGATAAAAATTTCAATTGGAATCACAAATGATCAAAACGCTCCTTCCAGTGACGAGATAACAGGTTATCAAAATGCAAGATGGGTTTCGGCACCGGAGGCGGCATGGAGAATATTTGCCTTCACCATTGCCGAGATGTATCCCCCAATTCAACAATTACAAGTACACCTGGAAAAATTTTAGTATATCAACTTCTTCTGAAATCAAAGATTCACAAAAATAGTGAAAGATGACAACAGGTCAAGCACAATGTTGACAAAATTCTTTGAAATGAACCTACACGATGTGACTGCAAAAAGACTCCAACTTCTTTCTGTACAATTCCCAGAGTTTTTTGTTTGGTCAGACACAAACAAGATGTGGACGCTACGAAAGCGAAAAAACGTCATAGGACGACTTGTGAGTGTTAATCCAATTGAGGGTGAAAGATATTATCTTCGCATGCTACTCCAACATGTAAGAGCTCCAACATCGTTTTCCAGTCTAAAACTTGTGGATGGTTATATATACAGCAGCCACATTCCGAGAAGGTGCAGAGAGAATGGGGCTTCTAACAGGAAATGCTACTGCTGATGTTTGCCTTGAAGAGGTTGTGATGTATCAAATGCCCAGTAGCTTGCGGAGATTATTCACGACAATATTGGTGTTTTGTGACATTCCAAATCCAAGAGAGTTATGGGCTAAATACAAAATGTATCTATATGAAGATTTTTCACAGGTACACATCTACACTCCATTGGAAATGGAAACAATGAAACTAAAACTTATTGGAGATATTACTGAAGCACTTGGAAAAAGTATTCTCACATTTAACCTAACAGACTGTGCCATACCCCTAACAATTGCTGAAATTCAGGCACGAGAATTAAGAGCAGAATACAACATAAATATAAGCGAGCAAGACCTTCAATGCGCTCAGATTCTCAATCGCGGACAACAGATTGCATTTGACTCTATTATGAAGAGTGTGACAGCCAAGAAACCTACAATGTTTTTTGTAGATGGCCCTGGTAGAACCGGAAAAACGTGTTTGTACAGAGCATTACTTGCAACAATCCGGAGCAAAAAATGGATAGCTTTAGCTACTGCAACATTAGGCATTGCTGCTTCTATTCTTCGTGGAGGCTGCACGGCATATTCTAGGTTTAAATTACTGTTGGATGGAAATGATAGATACACCTGCAACATTGGTAAGTAAAGTGCAATAGCAACATTACTTAAAGAAGCACGAATCTGTTGGACAATGTGCTATCATGAATATATATTTTTGCAATGTTCTTTGCCCATTGTCTTTTAGGTTTTGATAATGACAAAAGGGTGACAAAACATCATCATCTTTTTGTTCGTGTGTGCATTGCTCTTATCCTTCACTTTATTTTGTTTGTGGTGCATTGATTTTATTGAATATTCGTGAAGAACGTTTCCGCGCAAAAAACTGGTCTTTTGAGCAACACCTCTATTCACCCCCCTCTAGAGGTGTGCGAGGCGTCTAACAGAATCATCATATGGGATGAAATTACAATGGCTAATCGCGGAATTATAGAGGCATTGGATTTAACACTTAAAGATATTATGTCCTCCGATGACCTATTCGGAGGAAAAGTCATTGTTTTCGGAGGAGATCTACGTCAGACACTTCCAGTTGTCAGGAATGGAAATAGACAAGACTGTATAAATGCCTGTATTGTAAAATCACATCTTATTTGGCCAAAGATGATACGCCTAACTTTAGAAGAAAATGTTCGGGCGCAAGCTGATCCCTCTTTTTGTGAGTATTTAATGGACATTGGAAATGGGTCAACGCCAACTATAAGTGGTACAAACATCAAAATCCCACAACAATTCCTTGTCCGTACCCCCGACAGTTCAGATTTCTTATCGTCCCTGATCACAGCTGTTTACCCAAACTTGAACCTCTTTCAAGAGGATCCATATACGTTGATGGGGAGAATAATACTAACTACTACAAATGAGTACGTCGATGAAATCAACACGATCATAATTGGAAAATTCCCTGGAGAATCAAAAACCATGCTCAGCTTTGACGTACCACTAGATGAGAAATACAAAAGTTGCCAAGATTTGTTGCACACGTTATCATTTCCAGGTCTTCCACCCCACACATTAGTTCTAAAAAAGAATTGTCCAGTAATTCTTCTACGCAACCTAAACCCGTGTGAAGGCCTATGTAATGGAACGCGCTTAATTTGTGATGCATTTCACGATCATCTGATAAGTTGTTTCATTGCTTTTGGTGCATATAAGGGAAAGCATGTCTTCATACCAAGAATTCCACTTGAAATGTCTAGAGATGAACGTTGCGCAATCCCATTTAAGAGAACTCAATTTCCCGTCAAACTCTACTTTGCAATGACAATAAATAAATCAAAGGGTTACACACTCGAATTCGCAGGAATCTTTCTAAGGCGACCTGTCTTCTGTCATGGACAACTATATGTTGCAATGTCGCGGGCCAAAAATGCTACCTCCATCAAGATGCTTATTAACGATGAAATAGATAATTCGAAGACCACAAATGTTACCGCAAACATAGTGTATAATGAAATCATTGAATACCTTACATAAGAAAGCACTAGGTTTGTTGAATTTTAATGCATTTCGTTGCGCATTAATTATATTTTAAAGTCCATGTCGCCTATTCGAAATTTAATTTCATTACAAACTAATATACTACATTCACTTTTTTCAGAACAATGGATGCAAATCAAGAAATTACAGACGTCACTCCCAGTTCTAAATCATGGGGTTGCAAGGTCATAGTGCTAGAGAAGCTTAACGAGCGTCAATCAAGGGGAGTAACATACAGGGCCATGATCATGGAGGATAGTAAAGTAAGATTTCATATCCCACATTTGTACCCAAATTCTTAAAAACACTTATTCTCACAGTAATAAATCTAATTTATACATAGGGCCATAAGGTGAAAGTAATGACCTACGGACAAGATATCACCATTCTTGACAAGCGGCTTGAAGTGAACAACACATACAAGATTTTCAACGCAAAGGTTTCTCAAGCCATTCAAGGGTTTGGTGTTCCCGATGAAAGTTACAGACATATCTGGACACTTAATCGGAGGACAATGATTCACGATGTCAACTCAGAAGAGAAAATCTTAATTCAACCAAGTGCAGAACCTGAGATGGATCCATTCTCTCTGTTCTACAAAGCAATGCTTACAAATAAAAAGATCAGTAACACTATGTTTGGTTCAAGGAATTTTGAAGGAAAAGAAAAGAAAATGGTTTTCCCTCATTTTCCTCACCAAAATGGGAGGAATTTGGTTTTTCCTCTACTTGGTACATTTTGCCTTCTCATTCTCTTTTCCTTCTACTTTTCCTTTCTAACCAAACAAGAAAACTTGTTTTCCACTTCATTTTCTTTTCTTTTCTCTTTTGAATTCCTTAAACCAAACATAGTGTAAGTGACACATATTTTGTTTAAGAAAAAAATAGTATGCCCTAAAATTATATGTACTTAACATCCTATTTATGTTCTTATGTCCTATGGAACTACAAATGTACTTCTAATTGTCGTTGCCAAACTACAATGCAAATTCGTCTTCACAAAAAAGGGACAAAAAGCGGCAAGTGACTTCATAATCATCGATCATGAGTACGTTCCAACATTAATTCTATTTTTTTGCCTTTACTATTTTGTTATTTAAAATTAACTTACAATATTATGTATCACCTAAGAAAAATAGTTGTTGTTTATCTTTCAAAAAAATCGCCTAAATGCAGATAGTTGTTGTTTATCTTTCAAAAAAATCGCCTAAATGCAGCTTCTGATTATTGCATATCATAATTTCCTTGACAAACTTTGTTTTATTCTACTGTTCTAAGAAAACTAATGCTTGGTGCCTGACTTTGTTGAAAAACTTTGAACCCCCTCAATACTGGTTTTCAAAATTTCCGGTGGTTTTCACTTTCTATTTTTTTGGACTGATCGGACCACATCTATCGCCATCTAGTTTTTGACTATATTATGTCATTTCATCCTATTCTTCATATTTATGAAATCAGTCTTACAAGATTCTTCACCTTAACTTTAAGATTAGCTGAATATTCTCCAAAAACATTAACTGAATTTCACTCTACAATACAACCCTTTAGCTAGGGGGCTAGGAAATACATTAAAATTCCTAACTTTCTGAAGTCATAGATGTATTGTCGTCAAATTGGGCATATATCTTAAATGCGTGCAGTTTTCTGGTATAAAATCACTCATTCCCAACTCAGGTTCCTCATTTTTATTTTTATCTTTTTGAGTGAAAAATTAAAGCCCCGGACCAAAACTGGAAAATCTCCTTTTACATGATCAACACCAACTTTAGATTTAAAACCAAACAATTAAAGAAATACTCTGTTATAGATTGAAGGTTCTATTTACTTACAAGTACTAAAATAGAAAGTAATAAGACCCAAACGGTTACCCTCACATAACAGCCTTTTAGTAAACATGCCACTACGGAATCTAGATTTTGATCATACTTTATAGTTGGAGGTATTTCTACTTTTGTGCTGAATGTTTATGGTCTGGTTTATTCTTTGATCAACATAATAATAATAATACTCCGTAGTAAATATCATCACATTGGAGAAGGTGACATGTTAATATCATGTCTTTATTCTAAATAGAGATTTATTTTGGAAGGTTAACCATTTTTGTACTCAATAGTGAAATCACAAGCCATTAGCTTTGTATTTCCTTCCACTAATAAATCTGTGTGGATATCCCGTTCTAAGAAATACTTTTTTAATCTTTTCTCTGTCATAAACAAACATGATTTGGTTTAATCTGGTATGGCTATAGTAATTAGACCACTTACTATTGCCCCCATTCTTTTACCACTTGCATCTATTCCAAAAATTAATGACGTAGTGTAATCTGGCATGACTATAGTTGTGTAATCTGGCATGACTTTGTGTAGATATGGCATTACTTAGTGTAAGTACTTACAACAAATTGTCTTCCCAATGACTTAGTGTAATCTTTCATGCCTTAGTGTAATCTATTTCAATAATGAATGACTTAGTGTAAGAAACCTAGAGGACCAAGACTGGCAAGGAATCAATTCTGGTGTACCAAAACTGAAAACTGTAAATCACAGTTTTCAATTTTTAATACACTTATTCACTTATTCAATTTTTAAGAGTTGAAATCACAGTTTTCTCTCAGACTATTCAAATTTTTTAGACTTCAAATTCACAACTATTTGCCTATCTGTGTTAGAAAATTTGGGAATCCACTGAAATTGCACCCACTTCTATAATATGAGCCCTAAGAACTGGTCTCCTTTCATCTCCATTTATTTTGTTGCTTAATTTTTTTTTGTTTTTACTGCATGCCCTATTTATTTTGTTTATTTCATTACTCTCTCTATAGTTAATTAAGAATTTTAAAATTTGGGCTAGGATATAACATAAATGGATTTGCTCACTCTTGTTACTGGTAGTTAGCAGTTGCCCATCTATTTCTTGCTTATTTGATCTACTGGGTTGATTAATAGAAGTGTGGACTTTTGTACCTTTGATTTCTCTAAGTTTGGCACATACAAGTGTGCAGTTGTGTACTCCTGATGATTTTAGAATTTTAGTACCCATATAATTCCTTTAGTTTCTCTAAATTGTTTATTCATATAGGCATATGATTATCAATTCTAGATGTTTGTTTGAACAAAGATCTGAGTCAGTGTGTTTTTCAACCTTGTTTCCCATGGATTGCCTTGCTTGTTTGCTTAGTGGGCTTCTTATACCAGTGCTTTCACATCGGAAGCTTCTGTACTGTGTTTGTTATGGTAAAATATGCTGTATTTTTTACATTGTGGAATGTTTAGTTCTGGAAGGATGTTTATTTGTGAATAATGCTTTTATAAGTGGGATTTTAGCATATATTTTTTGTCCTCCACTAAGGTTGCTTTTTCAGAAAGCAGTTCTACTTTTCTATGCAATGAAGTTCTAAATTCAGTTTAGACTTTTAAAAAAACTTATATTGATTTTTTGAAGGTTTTGTAATTTTTTGGGTGCCCATGCATATATAATATGCAGGTTTTTTTGTAGCAATTTTCCTTACTGCACATGTGTACTTTTGATGACTTCATATGTTCGGACCTATATAAATTCCTTTGATTTTTCTAAGTTTGACAAATAGAAGCCTACACTTTTGTACTTTTGAAGATTATAAATTCCTTTGACTTTTCTAAGTTGTGTATTTATATAGGCATATGATTCTCAATTCTTTTGAAGTCAATTCTGAGGCAAATTGTTTACACTATAAATTCTGACTTTTCTATGAATACTTGATGTTATGTTCTGTTATAAAGGGTGGAGTTTTAGTGTTAGAACACAAATTCACAGCTATCTGTGTTGGAACATAAAAGCAAAGAGTGAAACTTTCAATCACAAAGAGGAAAACCAAAGAAAAATGAAACCCATTAAATAAATCTAAGTCCCCTAATGAATCAGGTTCAAGAAAAATAAACAAAATGAAAAGGAGACAGAACAGAATCATTCAATTAAATAGATAAAATAGAGCAGAATCATTCAATTAAAAAAAGAAAATAAAGCAAAATCATTATATTCAATTAAAGAAAAGATTTTTATGAAGGCAAACCACAGATTCATGAAAGGTAAATAACAATAGGCACAAGGTGAGGTCATATCAAAATGTACATTAGAAATCATAGTTCCAGTGAGTTTTTAAGAAATGTTATTCAACAGTTAGAGTGAAATTGAGTTCGCGCCTTGATTTCCAAGTGAGTCACATGTGTGTTGGTGTTTCTGGGACAGAATTCCTTGTGGAGGCATCGGGGCTAGACCAGCATCGAGCTTCCAGAGGAGTGGTTTCTTTGTATTTTGGTA